AGAGAGAGAGAGAGAGAGAGAGAGAGAGAGAGAGAGAGAGAGAGAGAGAGAGAGAGAGAGAGTCAACGCAAGTCCGAAGTGTTGTTTCAACCACTGCCCAAGCCTGAGCACTTTCGTCGGACGGAAGTGTTGTTTCAACCACTGCCCAAGCCTGCGCACTTTCGTCGGACTTTTCAGCCCCTACCCCCGGCTCCGCGCGCCCTTTCGATTTTCCCCTGCTTTGCCACCGTTTCGATTTCGACCAAAACCCGTTCCGACCAAAACCCAAAGCACGGTCCCACTGGCAGCTACAGGTCCCTCATTTTTCAAACAAACTTCCAGCACCCCCCAAAGTGCCATACCTGCACCTTCCTGCATTTTTCGAGCTTTCCAACGACCAAACGACCCGTAATGAACGATCGATATAACGAAGGACGACGAAAAAATGTCTCCATGTCTCAAAGGGGGAAAAACGCACCCCTGACGGGCTGCAGACAGACCCTCAGTGTCTGGGCTTCCTCTCTTTTGACCCTCCCGACTTCCCGCCCCGCCTCTGGGGTACGCGTTCCCGTACCGCCGCTGTTTGCAGCCCGTTAGGGGTGCGTTTTATGCCCTTGAGAACATTTTTTATCGTCGTTCGTTATATGGTCGTTGAAAGGCTGGAAAAACAAGGCATGGCAACTTAGAGGGTGGTGGCATCTTATTTGAAACTGCAGGACCGGTAGCTGCCCATGGGACCGCACGGGTTTTGGTCGAAAAATGGAAACGGGGCCAAAGCAGCGGCGGGCGCACCCGTTGCCTCACTTTCGCACCCGTTCCCTCTCCGTAAGTTAAATGTCTCTCTTCTTCTTCCCTCTATTTTCAGTTCAGTGCACCCGGCCCTCACCTTGACCAGATACATGCGCCACTTTTACGATCACGACATCAACGACAAGTAGCGACTTGGATCCGAATGGGCAACGACTACAAACTTGAACAAGTGATAGTGGTAGCTCGGCGCGAGTGGATGTCAGGCAATTCCAAAGAGCACGCTCGCAGAGGGGATCCCGACCGTGAAACCGGGTAGAGGTAACCCACTCTCTCTCTCTCTCTCTCTTTCTCTCTCTATGATTGCGGGCAGAGAATGAGAGAAGAGGGGGCGACCTTCTCTCTCTCTCTCTCTCTCTCTCTCTCTCTCTCTCTCTCTCTGTGATTGCGGGCAGAGAATGAGAGAAGAGGGGGCAACCTTCTCTCTCTCTCTCTCTGTGATTGCTCTCTCTCTCTCTCTCTCTGTGATTGCGGGCAGAGAATGCGAGAAGAGGGGGTGACCTTCTCTCTCTCTCTCTCTCTCTGTGTATTTGTGTGTGGGTGCACACTGGTATGTGTGTGTGATTATGCGCGCACACAGTAAAAAAAACAGGTCCAGCAAATGCCTCTGAGCCTCACCACACCACGGTTCACAGGGGGCGCATCAACAAACAAACAATGGGCTGCGCACCTGTGCCCTCACGGTAAGTCAATAAGCGAAAGCAAGGGATAATTGCTGACCACTGTTGTCGGGGGACGAAGAGCCAGGCAGGTGGGGGAAGGGTTGGAGGGAGACTAGTTCGGCCCGCGCTGCTGGAAGTCGGGAAAGTAGGGAATCAGCCGTTACCGAAACGGATGACCCTGAGGTCGTCCGTGGAAGACCTGGAGGGTCCCACGGAACGTCCGCGAGGTTGGAGGTCCCTTCTTTCCGACCCTGCAACGTGCCTCCGCTTGGAGGTTGGTCCGGTCGTCACGCATCCTCAGCGCGGGGAATAGCTGCAATACCAGCGCGCCGTCTGAGGTACCACTGTCTTGCTTCCGACTCCCCGTCGTCCCTTGCCTCCTCCTGTGTTCTGTCCCGACCTGTCCCATTCCTTTCCGCTTTCCTTTGCCCCTCTTGCGGGGGAGGGGCGCGGAGGGAGGGGAGGGGAGAGAAGACCATGGTGAAGACGAAGAGGGCCAGGTGGGGCTGCCCGGCGGACGCCATCGACGTGGTCTATTACAATCAGATCCTCGAGGTTCTTCGTCAACAACAAGACTCCGGTACGGTTTACTACGGAAGCTTCGTCTACGAGCCGCGGTCCGTGTACACCGAGCCTTGGGCAGGAGCTCTGCTCTACAACCAGCAAATGCTTGCACAGCATTTGGCGGCAACAAACCAAACCTCATCTCAGCCTGCTCCGCTGGCGTCATACACGTGGGCGAACTCACAAGGAGGCGGAGGAGGGTGGTACCCATCATCAGGCCAGAAAACGTCGTTCAATCCGTCTACGTCGCTTCTCGGGACTGGCGTTCCGCCTCCCGCCCTGCTTTCTGGTGCCACGTCAACGCAACAACTGAAGCGTCTGAACGGCGTCAATCACTTACATCGACCACCGGCGGCTCCACAGCAACAGCAGCAGCAACAGCAGCAGCAACAACAACCACTCGGTCACTCTCACTTTCAGCTTGTGTGCTCTCCTGCGAGCAGAGATGGCGCCGAGGCTCGGCCATCCATTACCGCTGCCTCTGCGCCTACATATGCGGGAGGAGGTGCCGCCCAGGTCTCCCTCGGTAGCGTGGGTGTCGGATCCATCAGCGCTGGCTTCGTCGGGAAAATCGCGAACGGTGCATGTGAGGGACACTCGGTGGCTATGCGACCTACGCAGCGGCGCTCATCGACATCATCCGCTCAGCAGCAGGAGCGGAGGGCGGCGGCAGCAGCAGTGGCGGCGACGGCGGCTGGGGAGGGAGGACCTGGCACAGTGAGAGGAAGTGCTGGTTCGGAATCAGGACAGAAGAGGGATCGCGCGCGCTCTCCAGATCCTAAGATCTGTTCTTCCGATGGCGAAATGTATGACTTCCCCGCAGCCAAGGAAGCAGGTAATCAAAGATCACCTCCAATCTTGGACCCGGTCGAACACTTTTCGCCCCCGCGGATCTCCCCGCCCTTCAAAGTCTAAGCTTTCCTTTTGCCCGCAGTGTTGGCTGCGGAGTCGCTTTACATTCGCGCGCGCGCGAGCGATCCGCGCACGCAATAAAAGCATGCGTGTTCATGCCCCGATGCGCGCGTGTCGTGTTGTTTACAGGTAGATCGACCGATCTAGGTAGATGCGTAGAAGTACGAATAGATGGAGGCGGGTGGTAGACGTATGAATAGATGGACGAGGGGATCGACAAAGAGGATGAGAGAGTGTCAGACCGAGAGAGAAGGATCGAGAAAGGAGCGGGGAGGATAAGAGCTGGGCAGATAGAAGGATCGAAAGGGGGGAGAGAGAGAGAGAGAGAGAGAGAGAGAGAGAGAGAGAGAGAGAGAGAGAGAGAGAGAGAGAGAGATGTGCACAGTCTTGGACAACAAAATCGTTGGCTGAGCGGTGGTGGTGAAGAGGTGCTACACAGGCAGGATT